GTTATTAACAATCTGCCACTAGTATACTGAACAGCAGTCACTTTTATAAAGTATCATCACGAACATATTGGAATTTTAATTTAGAGTCATCACAGCTCGAACCTAGAATAGAACTGTTTAGTAAATAAACTTCATTTAAAGTTTAAAATGATTCTAACCGTGAACAAAATGTTGAAAATGCTCATTCTCAACAGTCGTGTAGGGAAGCATCTGATCTGTCATCCATTTTAAGAGCAACTTCTCTAGATCTTTCTGACGTTCCGCCGTCATTTTCGTAAATGTAGCGCCGCTCAAGACTTGTCCAATCGTGGGCTGATTAGCTGCTGTTAGTTGATACATGGATCTCCGCTCAGCCTCGGCTTCTTGAGACTTCTGTCTTTTTGCCTTCTGTTGATCACGTATGGCAGTTGCTTCCTTGTGTTTTAAGGGATGCTTATGTTTTAGATGATCCCACAAACTCGTTACCTGGATAAGTTAAATTCAAACTCGAGCTTAAAATTGATTCGTTAATCGTTACTTTTATAGTTGTACTCATTGTTTATACATTTTATGTTAGGTTCCATAATCAATTACAGCTTAATTACACGATCAATTGAGAGATTAGTAATAAAAGTTGAAACTGCACATTAGTCGCGCTAGTCCAGCAATACCTCTAAGTACTTAAGTAACTTACTAAAAAACATAAAATTATAAACCTGGTAGTCCTTGGCCGATTGACCTGGTTTTCCTCGTCTGATCGAAGCAGAGCACTCCTTGCATTCTGCCAAATGTGGATTCGCTCCGGGATCTGGTACTGAGAAGAATTGCCATACGCCGGAAACACTTCTCTTTGATTGAGACATCCTAGCTTCTTAGCCTAAGGCACGTGAATTTGTTAATTATCGTGAATTTTGATACCAGATGGCACAATTAGTCATCAAAATTCTTCTAACAAGTCTAAACAAAACGCACCCTGGATATTTTGACCCCTTTCTTGTGTAAAAGCGACATGTCACATAAACCCTAAAAGGTGACCAGAAGCGACCAAAAAGCGACCAGAAGCGACTAGAAGCGACCAGAAGCGACCAAAATTTAAAAGGCGACCAGAAACGACCAAAAAGCGGCCTCAACGTGAAAAAAAGTGACCAAAAGTCGACGTTGTTAAAAAAAAGTGACCCAAAAGGGCCACTTTTCTGCCAGATGTGTCATCAAAAGTGACGGTCACTTTTACACAAGAAAGGGGGCCCCGTAAACGTATGTTAAATGTAACTAGTGCAATATTCTCCAGATTCACTGAAGTCTAAACTCAGTATGTGTTAAGACACTGCAATCTGAACAACTTGCTAGAAAAGGAAACTTAAATGTAATTGTAGGGATAAAGAAAATGGGCAAATAGCAATAATTAATTACTGACGCAACACTAACAGCTACGAAGACAAAACAACAAATTATGAACTGATTACAAGATGGCTGCCGGAGCCCGAGTGTTTGGTTGTACCTGATGCACCGACACCATCCATCTCACCACGTGCACGCTTCTGATAGAATATTTCAAATTTCACTGTCAATTACTCAGATCCTGCCTGGGCATGCCCACTCCTGACTCTTGGCGAACTTGCCCCTTCATAATGATTGTAACGTGTGTACCAGTACACAGTATAGTACACAGTACAATCTGATTAGGTACAGTGCGCTTTTCCTAATAAACAATGCCCTTTTTCCCAATAATTTTTCTGCCAAAATTCCTCGGCCTCGGCCTCGGCCTCGGTCAAAATTTGCACTCCTCGGCCTCGGCCTCGGCCTCGGTCAAAAAAAGAAACCTCGGTTGTCCTCGGCCTCGGTCTTAACTAACTGTATTTTCCTCGGCCTCGGCCTCGGTCGAAAATCCTGCCCTCGGTCGACCCCTGGTTGGAGCACGTTTGATACCTGCTAGTTGGCAAGTGGCTGCAAAGTATGCTCTAGAACTATCAGTTTCGTTTATCTCTTCAGCAAGAGTGTCTGCATGCTCTTCTTGAAGGAGCTTGATTCTCTTACGAGTGTCATTTTGAATACGATTGATTTTGGTACGTATAACTGATCTATCTTCAGAGGTTTGATTGAGTAGAGCTTGTAGAACTTTCTTTTCATCAGACATCTCTCGAATTTCAAGGTCATTACAAAAGTTTTTAGGGCGTTTCCTAGGAAGGTATCCAATACTAACCTCAGCAGCTTTATGTACATTGTGAAACAAACTATTCATTTCTTCCTCAGGGTTAGGATTAACAGGGCTGTCTGTTAGAATATCATTCAATGTGTTGTTGTAATGCATTTTAGCAGCAGGATTACTGACAAGGGTTGTGATATCAAAATGCATTTTAGGTTTCTGTTTGGGGAAGACAAGGTGAGCGTCACTGAAGTTGAAACGTGTAATAACAATTTTGTGATCAGATTTAACAAGAGTACCCCCATAACTTCGAGAATTCACTAAAAGTTTCTTCAATCGACTGCTACATAGGACATAGTCAATTTGAGAGTAGTAGGGCAAAGTGCGATGTGAGTTCTTAGGAGCTGAATAGTCTTTCATAAAACCAATTCTTGTTGTTATATGACGGACAGGGTGCTGGAAGCTAGTGTTGCAAGCAAAAAGTTTTTTATCAACAAGAAAATTAAGAAGATGCTCTCCATTTGAATTCCTCTTTCCAGACCCATACATACCCATAAAGTCATTATACCCGAAAACAATATCTGAATGAGACAATTTACCGAGTCGAGAGTTGAAATCTCCAAGAATATATAAGTCCCAACTTGATGGGATATCAACAGCTTTGCCAAGAAACTTGTAGAAATAATCACGTCTCTGCGGATACTTATCACAATTTACTTGAGTGTGTCCATAGGCATTGATAACACGGCAAAGTCTTGGTTTACCTGATTTACTTGGTATCTCAAGATCTAGATAAGCAACCCTGTCACTGATACTGTTGTAACACTTGATGTAGTTGGTATAGACTGAATTTACAAGAAAACCAATACCTGCTTGCCACTTATTGTCAAATTGCTGAAAGTTTATGAAGCGATATTTGTGTGATTTCCCATCATCATCTGTAAAATGCAAAACTGAATCCTCAAAGTGACGACATTTTGATTCTTGCACAGCGAGAATGTCTATTTTACGATAATAGCAATCTCTTAAAAGTTCATCCCGTTTAACTGGAGAAGTAATACCCAGGACATTAAAAGTAGCTAGAGTGAAGAATAGTGCTGTGCTTCTTCTTTTGCGTTCTGATGTAGATAATCTACTCTGTACGTTGCCGCCAGAGCATCTGCCGAAATCACTCGAACAGGCCATCTTCGCATGCTAGTAGTTTTTATTTTTATTTTACGTTTCATTGATCAATTTGACACGTTCAAATAAAAAACCTCGATTCACCGCAGTTAGAATTGTTAAATTAAACTTAAGCTTTTTTCGTTTCAAAAATTGTGCAAATTATTCGTTACGCAGATGGAAGTTCTTTAAGCGGGCAATTCCAGTCCAAACCCTGGATACATGACATAAAAGATTCGTACTTTCACTTGTTTGCATGAAAAGCATTAATACACCAATCAGTAACTTAGGTAAATGCTGCGCTAGTACGTGAATTCCCTTTCAACTCATTTACATTTGGTTAAATTATCTTAGTTCATATAATAGTTGTAGTTAATGGTGGATATTGACTATTATATATACTAGCAGGAACCCGTATAACCCTAAAATGGTGTCAAGACTCAAGAGACTAACATAATTATTACCTATTTAATTCGCGTTTTTGACACCACTTGGGGGTCCAAATTTTGGGCTCTAAAATTTCTATTCCTTGGCCGATTATTTATTTTTTCATGCTGATTTGGAGGCCATTAAAGCATTTGACCCAGTCAAAAAAGTTTCAGTTGTATATCTTTTACGGTTTTTGCGGAAAGTCGCGTTAAAGTTGATGCCGTGGTGTCAGTAAAATGGCACGGATAAACACATATATATCGTCTCGCTTTATATATACTAGCAGGAACCCGTCTAACCCTAAAGTGGTGTCAAGACTCGAGAGACTAAAATAATTATTACCTATTTAATTCGCGTTTTTGACACCACTTGGGAGTCCAAATTTTGGGCACTAAAATTATTATTCCTTGGCCAATTTTTTATTTTTTCATGCTGATTTGAAGGCCATTAAAGCATTTAACCCAGTAAAAAAAGTTTCAGTTGTATATCTTTTACGGTTTTTGCGGAAAGTTGCGTTAAAGTTGATGCCGTGGTGTCAGTAAAATGGCACAGATATATATATATATATATATATATATCGTCTCGCTTTATATATAGTAAGATAATAGTAAGATTGATGGTTATACAATCATACATTTGGATCCCGACGGCACTAGTGTCGCGTACCCGGCACTGTCAAGGCACTTTCGCAGCACTATGCATGTTTCAAGAAGAAAGCGGCGCACGCTACTTCGAAGAAATTTAGACGAGTATCATCCGTCAAACAAGAGGCCCACGTTATTGACCGTGTCAATCCTTACTAGCTCGGTGAGGCCCAGTGGGGCATCTCGCCGATCTTACGAAGGTGGTTGTGAGAACAGAGAAGCATTATTGGATATATGTGCGACGCGACCAAATTTATCAAAATCGGAGACAAAAAATTCTGTGCCAACTCATGGCTCTAATTACATTACATTTACTACATTACATATAGACTATGAGCTAAAGATTTCATTTGTTGGCTTCATTAATTGAAAATTCGTCAATTTGATTTATTTGGATTTACCTCACACAATTGTGAAAAATTTCATCGGTCGACTCAAAAGATTATTAGAATACCATTATTGGGGCAAATTGGGAGGACCTACAGAGTAGATATAGAGCTTTCCGGTATATCTACATTGTACTGTACTGTAAACATGGTACTTTTTTTTCGCAAGTTTCATCTTTAAGATATCGTTTCAACAGTTTGATAGAAACCTGACTGTCTGGTTTATAATAAGTCACGATTTACTTCATATTAACAATGAAATAATATTTAGGCTATGGACATTGTTACAAGATTATCGAAGGTAGTGAAAGATTGCCCTGATTTTCCCAGGAAAGGAATCCTCTTCAAAGACATAATGCCGATATTTAATGATCCTGACTTAGTACGTGACACCTGCCAATCACTCGTTGACCAGGTAACAATGATACATCGTGACAAGGATATATTGTGCAATAAAAAGGATGCTTCTCTGCACTCATTGTAGTTTTTGACAGAAAAAATGCAAGTTTCAACAGATTTGGATCATGATACTCTAAGTTTCTTCCATTTAATATGTGACTGTGAGTTGAAAAAGATTATCAATTTATTGTTTTCGTAACACCTTTCCTAAAACTTGTTTTCCTTTAGATGTTGACTTTTTGACTACTCGTGGACATAGTGACATCATGGAAAAATTATCCTCCTTGCCATGTGTCTCCAACCTTTCGAATTTTAAACCATTCAGATCATTCATTCTGGTGAAAGGCCTGATGTTATTATTGGAATTGAAGCACGGGGATTCCTCATTGGACCAATTATGGCACAGCAACTTAAAATCCCGTTTGTGCCAATAAGGAAGAAAGGAAAGCTTCCCAGGGAATGTTATTCTGTAAAGTATGAAAAGGTAAATTCTGATTTAGATACTTTTTACCAAAATATTTCACAGTCTTTACTTGTTAACACCATATTGTTCATTTACCTGAATAGATCTGATTAAGTTGTGTAGTGTTATTGTGATTTGTGTCTCATCTTTAATAAATAATTCAGTACTGCATTAATATTTATACTCTGACATGTTTAACATCCTGAGCCCACAATTAACAATAATCTATTTCAGGAGTATGGTTTTGATGAGTTCGATATTCAAATAGATGCTCTCAAGGAGGGTGATAAAGTGGTGCTAGTTGACGACCTTCTTGCCACTGGTTTGAGTCATCCTTACATTTTAAGCTTTTCTAGTCACTTAGAATTTGTAAGTCTAGTTCTAAATTTTCAGTGTCAAAAATGTGATAAAATAGAACATATGATTTGTGTACTGTAGCTTTAACTATCACAACATGTACCCTGCAGGAGGAACTCTTGAAGCTGCCAAAAAGTTGTGCGATAAAAGCAAAGCAGAGGTTCTTTCCCACTGTGTGGTTTTTGAATTAGAGTTTCTAAAAGGGAGAGATAGGTTAAGGCCACAGGGGGGGGTCCGAGGTCAATTTTGAGATTTTGAGATATGTTGTAGAGCTCGATCTAAATTTTCAAATGCTTTTGTCCTTACCGAAAACAAAGTTTCCTATTTGAAGATATCGCGCGTTGAATTTTGAGGTTTACCTGTAATTCTATTGTAAATGAAAACTTTAAATGCAATTGTGTTAAAAATCTATCTTCTTTTTTAGTTTATGACTTAGAACCTTGTAACTTGCCAACAATGTTCTTAAAGGTATTTTGAGTTTTTGTTATGTAACGATTTATGATATCTTGCTCCAAAGCTGAGATATGAGGTTAACCATGAGTGAGAATTACAAAATGTACAAAATTTAAAATGGTTAACCTCATAAAAAGAGTTAGGAGCAAAATTACAACAATCGTTACATAACAAACTTTTAAATTTATGTCAGGAACATAAGTTCCAAATTTGAGGTGAAATGGATAAAAGCTCTAGGAGAAGATAGGTTTTTGAGGTGGTAAATAAATTGTTCAGGAGAGTCCAAAAGACCATGATTCTGAGAAAATATGTTAACCTCAATTTTCCAACAAATAAAGGACATATAATAGTTCTGTTCACATTGGATGGCCAATTGATACCCATTGATAAGTTTAACTTGTGACGAGAGCAACAAAATGTTAAGAACTGGTTATTTGTGAGGTTAACTGATTAAAAAGGCAATAGTTAACCTCAATTTTACGACAAACTAGGCGCTCTGGGGGGCTAAGGGTGGTGTGCAAGCGTCAGATAGTACGTGGTCTGCCAACTGGCAAAAAACTTTTTTTCGACCTCGGACCCCCCCCTGTGGCCTTAAGGGATACATCTGTTATTTCGCTTGTGAAATATGGCGGCTAGACTACACTTTAGTAGAGCATCTTGGGCTATACTGGTTCTAACAAGTTTATAATCGGATGTTTACTTATATTTATTATGATATTATTATTCATTGTAATGGCAATAAAATTTGAGTTAAGTAATGATTTTCTTTATTGTTTTATATTAAGGGTTTTGAATTTTAATTGAACATTTCAGATTTGAACAATTTCAACAACTATATGATTGTGTACTGTTTAAAAAAGATTTCATTTGATTTTTAGCTAAGTATTGCAGTACGTGTTTTTTTGATGCTTTTGTTTAAAAAGGCTGAACCAGAAGTGCCCACAATAAGATTGCAAGTAGTTTGCGTTCCTTTGGAGTTTGGCCCAGTGAGGATAGTGTAGATAAGAGAGCAAGAAAATGAGTAAGTCACTCTAGTTTGATCCAGTTCCTTGATGCGGCACTTGGTTTATGTATTGCCCTCTTAGTCATGCCATTGCTGGGTACTGTTTTATAAAGGGCAAGGGGGTATCTTCCTCATTCTTGCACATGGGACAGGCACTCTGCACTATTCATTTTGCTTTATTTTGTAAAGAGCAAAATAAATAAAAAATATATACTTTCTGCATATTAATTTTTTTTAAAGTTTGAAATTACACCCTGAGAAAGAAAAGCTGGCCTTTTTGCAGCCAATTCATTTAAATCTGTAATATCCTACTGTTTAGGAAACATGACAAGGCCCTCTCCACAAAGCTCTGGTTTCAGAAAACTGGGCACTGTCGGTGCTGCCAGCAAGGAAACAGGCTCACTAAAAGGAACCAGAACTTCTCTTCATAGTACACTCCAACAAACTAGCACTGGTATCCAATCTTTAGACCTCCTTCTTGGTAATGGCATCAACCTCTCCTCCTCGCTTCTTATTCAGGTACACTGAGCTTCTAGTTTTTATCATATATAATGGTCTGATGTCTGCTTTTATCAGTTTATTGAAAACTTTTCATGCAAATGCTTATTGAGTCAATGCATCAATCACAATTTTCACACTTCGTGTGTTCTGTAAATCTCAGTTATCAAACTCAACAATTTTATATTATATCACACGATTTCTGAATGTATCACGTAATCTCTGCTCTGAATGAAATGTATCGCAGGAGCAGGACAGGGGTGAGTACAGCCCAGTGTTTGCCAGACATTTTATATCAGAAGGGATAACACATGGCCACACTGTGGTCTGTATTGGGGAGAGAGTGGCCTCCTGGCTGGACAACCTTCCCAAACCTATCGAACAGAACACAGGTATGTTTCCAGAAACCTTCTTGAAGAGCATTTATTGTTAACTTGATTATTAGACACAGGATAGTATGATGATCTTGATCAAAATATTTTCTTGAATTTGCCCATTTTTACAAGTTTACTATTAGGCTACATTAAGGGGACATACACCAAAAGCTTTTATGCCCTGGCCCTGCTGTTAACGTCATATTAAGAAAGTGTATGTATAAAAACAATAAGATTTGATACATTAAAAATTATTTTTGAGGACCCGCACTTTCGAAAAAATAAATATTTTCTTTTTCGAAATTTTTGGAAATTTTGAGAAGTCTGTCACTGTAATACCGATATTTCGGTCATTTTAAAAGTCTTTTGGCTGATTTTGTTACTGAAGATTACTTACAATCCGTACAAGAAGCCCTTCAAAGGATTTTATAATTAAAATATAGATGACGAAGTTACAGACCAAACAAGGTCGAGAGAAGCAAAATTTAAATTTTTGTAAAAATCAAAGTTGTATATTTTACCATTCACCCAGGTCATAAGATATCGCTTCAAAAATTCTTGTGAGTGTAGCTGATGATCATATCCAACTTTTTGGAACAGGATTTCTCTCAATTGTGAGTTTTAAGGTATAAAATGTGGCCTCAAACGACTTAGTAAAATTCATCGTAAAAAGGGCCAAACATGGCAGATTTAAGGCTTAAAATGCCTATAACTCAAAAAGCATCAGTTTTTTTGAAATAATTTTTACAGAATCGTAATCAGCTTGAGAAGACGAATCTTTTAGTACCAAATAGGTGATTTTAGAAGACAAATTGTCTTAAATAATTTTCTAGCTCGAACACAAGGGTCCCCCCTTGTATAAATTTTGTACAAATTGTACACATTTTTTTTCAAATTTTGTGTCTTAAACTACTATAAATTTGGTACTAAAAGATTCGTCTTACCAAGCTGATTACGATCCTGTAAAAATTATTTCAAAAAAACTGATACTTTTTGAGTTATAGGCATTTTAAGCCTTAAATCTGCCATGTTTGGCCCTTTTTACGATGAATTTTACTAAGTCGTTTGAGGCCACATTTCATACCTTAAAACTCAAAATTGAGAGAAATCCTGTTCCAAAAAGTTGGATATGATCATCAGCTACACTCACAAGAATTTTTGAAGCGATATCTTATGACCTGGGTGAATGGTAAAATATACAACTTTGATTTTTACAAAAATTTCAATTTTGCTTCTCTCGACCTTGTTTGGTCTGTAACTTCGTCATCTATATTTTAATTATAAAATCCTTTGAAGGGCTTCTTGTACGGATTGTAAGTAATCTTCAGTAACAAAATCAGCCAAAAGACTTTTAAAATGACCGAAATATCGGTATTACAGTGACAGACTTCTCAAAATTTCCAAAAATTTCGAAAAAGAAAATATTTATTTTTTCGAAAGTGCGGGTCCTCAAAAATAATTTTTAATGTATCAAATCTTATTGTTTTTATGTATACTTTCTTAATATGACGTTAACAGCAGGGCCAGGGCATAAAAGCTTTTGGTGTATGTCCCCTTAAGCATGGGCCCAAATTAATCTGCTGGTCTTTAATTATGACTGTTTACAGATGCTCAAACACAAGATGAAGACAGTCTAAAGATAGCCTGGAGATATAAGCGTAAGATTCAAACCCGATTCAGTCACAGCTACGACATGTCCCAGCAGCGACCTTCTGAAGATATCAGCAACTGCAGAATTTTCACTAACAGTGATCCATCGTACGACGACTTGTATATTTTTATCGAGAGTGCTGTTCATGATAATGAGGATAATGTTGTAAGGATAGTTTTAGATAGACCCATGTTTCCTGTTGCGGATGAAGCAGCATTTTTACGATTCCATTACAATCTGAGGAAGTTATCTGCCAAGAAAAATGTCGTGACATTGTGTTTATACCCGGTCAGGACAATGTCAGATTCTTTATCATTTTACCTCACTCAACTTTACAACTACGTCCTAAGTGTCGAATCTCTTCCGAGGGACAAAAAATCAATTTTCAAAGATTACCATGGTATTTTGCACCTGGTGAAAGTAGCCAACATGTGTACCTTTACAATGCCTCTCCACGATATGACGGACAGGTTCTTCAAGGTACAGAGGAAGAAGTTTATCATTGAGAAGATGCATCTTCCTCCTGACTTGAGTGAGACTGTCAGTAGGTCTTCTAACTCGCCATCCGCTAATTGTGCTTCTTCAAAGGGCATCGATTTTTAGTTTTATTTATTTTTAGAATGTTTGTATCTTTCAAAGGTTTATTTTTAGAAGTATTAAAGCCTTTTAAAATGCACTATATCAAAGTCTGATAGGTTTTTAATGGATTGTATGAGGCTAGGTTATTTAGGGTTATTTATTATTTTTAATGTATTTGATCTTTTCATGATTTCATTCGGATGTTCTTACAAGTAGACATTTTATTGTGACGCTAGCTCAGATTGTTATAATTTATTATTAATTTAGTCGAAATTAATCTCAAGGTGATGTGCATGAAAATAATGACAGTGCGAGAAACATAGCCGAAATTAATCAGAATTTGTAGAATGATCACGATATCATATTTAAACAAATTAACCACATTAGAATGAACGGCCTAGTTGGATACGGAAGTAGTGATGAAAGTGACTCTGAACCAGAAACTGCACCAAAACCTAAAGAAACCCCAGTAAAGTTAACTAACGGTACTAACTCACAGGATACCCCAAAACAAACCACCAACCATCAGACACACCAAGCTCCGAGCACCTCCTTCCCAACCGTACCACAAGACATAGACAAGAAGTTAGACATATCAGATGACGAGGATACTTACATACCCCGCTCTAAATCATCCGCCAAACCTGCACCCTCTCTCCCTCCAATAACATCACACCTCCCCAAACCAGCTCCGAAACTCCAGAACCTGTCAGAAGTTATAGATAAAGCTCAGATAGTGACGGTGGAAAGAGATAACCTCATAAGTAAGGAGGGGGTTATTGCTAGTTTTCTTCCCAAACCTAAAGACAATGATGTCCATGAGATGGAGTTGGAGCGCTTCCACAAGAGCAAGCGCAGGAAGAAAGATAAGAAGAAGAAGATATTTGTTCTTGATTTGGAAGACTTTTCTGATGAAGAGGAAGTTAAACCAAAACCTCGACGTCCCGTATCATCTAAATCTGCATCAGGACTCTTCTCGATTCTACCTGAGCCTAAAAACTGCAAAATAAACACTAAATCTACCAAGTCAGTTGTCACTAACAAGGCTAAGTTTACTTTCAAACCAAGGACCCTGCAACCAGTTAAAAAGAAAGTTACTGAAGATGCAGAAGTGGACGTTAACGATGATAATGACCAAAATGGAACCGATTTCTTCTCTTTCACCAACTACACGAAATCGACCAAAGATATCGAGAAAGCAGCAAAGGCTGTGAAATTGGATCAATTTAAGCCTAAACAAGTATGTGAATTATGATCATTGCAGCCCATCCCCGTTGATTTAGAAGAGTATTTGAGAGCGACCTAAACATGCCCCGTTTTAACAGTATTTCCGCTTCTTTAACTGCGAATATTAATTACTTTTTAACCTAGAAAAACACCCTTTCCAGGTATCAGCTACTCCAGAAACTATGACTGTCCAGGGAGAACTGAGGAGTATTGATGCGATAATTGCTCCTCAAGATGACACCTTCACAGAACCCGTCCTACCAGTCCCTGCTGAGGTTTATTTTATCACATTTCCTTCAACCCCGACTATTTCACGTGTCAATCTATCAATGTCCAGTACTAATCTTACTGATGAAATTTCTGCTTTATTTGAGAATGGTAATAAGATAATATGAATAGTGCGGAGTTTATGCAGTCTCACTGCTGTGTCCAATGTAAATGTTATGATAATCTAAGTAAACTATAGGTAAAAATATAATATTAATCATAAGCTAAAATGTACTAATCTTTGTATTCTAAATGGGGAAAAAGAAGAAACATTGTCAGTCAGTCGAGAAAATTGTCAGTCAGGCTATATGGCAGCTTTGTAGATGTTGTGACTATGCTAGTAGTGGTCCCAGGCTTGCGACTGGAATTGCGGTGTTAAATCGATTTAATGGTACCAACGATCCACCTCCCACTTGTTGTTTGGTACTTAGCATTAATAGTGTTAGCTGTAGCCATTTATAGCAAGAATCTTAAAACTAAAGGGGGTGACAAGGAAAAGAGGAAGGAAAAAGAATAACGGGACAAACAATTAATTAAAGTATTTATAGGAGCATTAGATATTGTAATTACAAGCTTCAATAATAAATCACTGACTAAAACTTCTAATTAAAATGACACTTGGTACGCTCGCCCATTTTCACTGGTCAGTCTGAACTTCGGTTTAGCACGTTGTACACTTATTCACCTAAGTTTCAGAATTTGTTCAGTTTAGCAGAGTTAGTACCCGTGTTTCAATAAATCAAAAGATATCAGGGGAGTTCTTTAATAATGTTACGGTCATCTAGAATACCGAACTTCCTGAAAACGTTATCATATTTCCTCAGACAACGTTTAATGCCTTTAATCAGTCTATCACGGCTATATCCTCTATCAATTAGAATTTTGAATATTTTGTGAAGATGGGAGGTAAAGATATCCAATCTAGTGCAAACATTACCATATCTAAGAACTTGACTTGAAAAAACGTTGTAGCCAACCTCGGTTGGGATGTTACTGTGAGGAAATGTAAGTGATAACACGTTTAACTACTCCAGGACATGAGCGAAGTCCCCTCAGAGTTCAGAGACTTTGTGTATAACGCTGCGGAGGTTATGGACGTTAACCAGGAGATACAGTCTACAGACGAGTGGGCTCTCAAGAACCTCGATTATGTTAGTTTTACACACTGGGCCATTACGGCCCTTTGTTATCCGCTGTTATGTATTTTTTGTTCATTGTGAGCCTTGAATTATTCTTGTCGTGAATTATTCTTGTTGTGAATTATTCTTGTTGTGAATTATTCTTGTTGTGAATTATTCTTGTTGTGAATTATTCTTGTTGTGAATTATTCTTGTTGTGAATTATTCTTGTTGTGAATTATTCTTGTTGTGAATTATTCTTGTTGTGATTTATTCTTGTTTTAATTATTCTTTTTGTGAATTATTCATGATGTGAATCATTCATGTTGTGAATTATTCTTGTTAAGAATTTATTCTTAATTTTATTCTATCGATAATTGAAATTGAGGGATCTCTTAATTTACTGTGTGACATTTGCAGAGCGACGATCAGCCTCAGTCCAGCGGAAAGTGTCCACTGAAAGGACAGACAAGAAAGAAGAACCAGATCCAGTACTTAGCATGGCAAGCTAAGGAGAGAGAGTCAGACCTGAAGAGACAGTGGGGAGACAACAGGATGAACAGACATGCTACTCAGAGCAAATATGGGTTTAGGTGAAGTTGTTTTGTGTGAAACAGAGTAAAAATACGGTTCTCGAATTTTAGGCGTGAAGTGGCCAGAAATGTTGAACAAGCTTCTGAGAGAAAATACGGGTTTACGTGTGGTGAGAACAAATAAACGCGTTTCTCTGAGTAAACACCGAGTTAAGTGTGAGAGTGTAAGATATCGGACTATATGAGGTTTTATTACATTGTCTACATTTTCTTCAAATATATTACTTTAAATGTTATGTCTTTTTGTATAATATAATTTAAATTAATCACTCATTTAATAAATTAATTTGTTACTTTATTTATATAAGACGTATTTTAAATGCTGAAAAGTAGTTTAAACTACTATTATGGCATTTTGTTCTCATTTAACCACCCCATCAGCTCCTTCAACTCACTACTTTACCACCACTACGTAGAATTATATTAACTCAACCCGTAGTTTAGCAGGGTGAACAATGTAAGATGGTAATATGGAACCTCAGTATTTCCGACGTATGTGGTAAGCCAGAGTCGGACCCTTACTTCTGCACCCGCTATGTAACCCTCTCTCTCATTGCAACCTTCACCGGACTGTTATGTCTCGGCAAGGTCGCCAAGTACCACTACAACAAGGTCAAATGTTTCTACCAACTCTCCATTTTCTACTGCGCGCTTTTTGAGTGCCTCTGTTTTGTGCTACATTGGATCTTTCTACCGTTTGATATTATCGAGAACATGGGCTACTGGTTCAGGGTCATCCAGCTGTTGATTGTATGTTTTGTGTACAGTAAACTTGCTAGCAATGTTCTGAACGCAGAGGAACAGTACAAGAAGCGGTATCTCCCCGTGCTCACTGTTTTTGCGGTGTACTACGCGGCGCTGATCCCCTGGATGTTCACTATTCCCCGGTTCAAGTATCCTCACAAGTGTACGGAGTTCTTCCACCCCTGTTACACTATATCAGACTTCGTTTTAGCACAGGTTACAGCCAAATTTATTTATTTACTTTATCTTTTTATATTAACGATCATGCCCTTACATTCATTGAAATTTCATTACAGAATGAAATGATTCGATTTTTCAAATAATCGCATTTCTCCCCACAGATATTTCTGATATGTGGAGTATACCTGACAAGGAAGATGGCGTTAGTAAACATGCCATCAGAGCAATTCCTCGACCAAAAGAACCAGCTATGGGGTGTCATAATGGCGTTTGAGACTGAAGCAATCATCAGTATAGTGTACGATATCCTGCTCTTCGCGATAGGAGCAGAGGAACATGGATGCGGAGGATTCCTGTACCAGCACAACGCGCTATCAGTAGTCGTCTTCGTGATTGTGCGCAGCGTGCGCTTGTTTGCTGCAATCTGGCTCATGCTCTACTTGTTTGACGCACAAACCACAGACTACACAGAACCTCCCCCGTACACGTACGACCCAGAGGATTCTCTTGATGAGTACATGGCTGCGCGGAGTCAAAGCATCGTGCCTTACAACCCCGAGGGGTTATTATATGACACTGAAGAGCCTCTCCTCCAGGAGAATACTTTTGAGAACTATTTGGCAGATGATGTCAATGAGAGGTTTGGAGAGCGAACCAATAGACTTCTCATTGAGGCGGGTACTAGTAATCCTTACGTAGAGTGAGTGGTCACCGTGGTGATATTGATTGGTAACCACTATGGTTACTTCGGTTACTGTAGCTGTGGTTACTATGGAGTTTGGATGAGAAATCTAAGGTATGGAACTGATGACGTGTTTTCAGAGAGGGGTGGATCTGAATGTTTGATTGAAAATCATAGTTAATCAAAATTTGGGGGCATGATTATCTATTTTAGTGTCTGTTTAGAAGAGTGCTAAAAGAGAAAAGAATCTGATTGATCGAGAAAGGACGAACTTAAGGAATACTATCTTTAAGAGGAGTTTGACAGGTTACCCCTGTATACTACTACTACTACTACTACTACTACTAGTAGTACCCCTGTTTGGTAATGACACTGTTCGGTGATTACATTTATGGAAGTTGAGACTTCCTATGGAAGCGTATGGCGAGAGTTAAATAAAGAATAAGGATCCAGTGATCTTGATAAGAGTCGTAATTCCAAACCATATGGTTTTGGTGGACTATAAATGTTTAGGTGTCATCTTGGCTATCACATTTGGAACCCCTAATGTTTGTGAGAATGAATGGCGTTGATGACGCTATCCTTAAATAAGCATAGTAAGGTGAATTACGTAAAACCAAAGACTTAAAATAACCTCTAATGATTGCATTTTAAACCGTTTACTGTATATAGAAGGATGTAAGTGTAATTTGATTAAAAAGTAAATCAGACAAGATAATATATAGGATACCTTCTTGTGCTTTTTAACAGTTCGTTTTGATCTGATATATAATTTTTGTATAAATCTAGAGACAGTTGTAACTTGCATCTCAGTTCAGTACAAGTAGAACAGTGGGTTTGTTTGTATGTACTTGGTTTTAAAAGCTGTTTTCGTTTAAATCTTTTAATAAAAGGTACGATTCCTTGGAAGAATAAGTTCCAGTGAAATGGAACTTAATATGGAGTATAAAATTGTAAATCAGCTGTGTAATATGATACGCTCTAAGGAGAGCATTGTGACATCAAATTGAATCGTGTTTTACATAACATGTTTTAGGTACAGTGAAACTCTGGAACATCACGTACTCTCTACCCCTCAAAACTCCCAATAGATTTATCAAGCTTTCATAAATTAAATTGAAAATCAGGGCCCTTTGATACGATGAAAAAATAAAATATGATGACCACAGGGTTTCACTGTAGATTCATTCACCAAATGTCTCATTAATTAAGAGATAATATTCTTCTGCCACTCTAGTACTGTGTCTTGCATCCAAGTTTTTGTTAATTTTGTTTACCAATTTTTCTAAGTGCGTGTTTAGATAGTTAGTAAAAGAACCTGTTGGTAAAATAGGTGTTGAGAACGCCGTAACGAACCTGGTATTTTGTATAAAAGGATTTTTACTTAATTTATTGATCTTGCTTGTTAAGGAATGTACCTACATCTTATCTTCCTCGCTTTATACTTGAAGTTGTTGACCCATTGAAGTTTAAACGACATTTCAACCACCATAATATATTAATCTCAATGCCGATGTATGTTTTAAATCAAGTGAATTATATAATGATATGTTTTTAACTATACTGTTAAAAGAATATCTCTCGTTTATTTTTAAAAGATCTATCGGTAACTATTGTAGCAGACACCTCATATTTGCCATGTAATAATGCGGCTTTTCTGTTTTGCAGAGACACCCCATTTTAGTTATTATTCACATGTATCGGATATAATGATAAATATTGACACTAGCAGTTCCAAACTGTGAACTAACACAAAACATCTTGGTAAGGCTTGATGGCAGACGCACCTCACCAGTGCCCGTGACTCACTAAGTAACGGAGCGGCTCTGTCGACAACACTACTGGTAGCACTGCTAGCACTGGTAGCACATCCACACACTGTGCTATAGTCCTGTTGTTGTTGTAGTGTGGTGGTGGAATGTTCGAGAAGAACTTACACGATCTGGTCCGGGGTATCCGGACCAACAAGAACAACGAGGCCAAGTTCATCTCCGCTTGTATTGAGGAGACTAGGAATGAAATTAAAACTGTGAGTATTCAACTGTTGAATATTATTTATAATTGGACTAATTATAATTAGATTAACCTGGTTTTGTAGTGATTTGGTGAATGTAAAATCCGGGTTGGAATATTATTTATGAGTCGCATAGTTGAAATGTTTTCTTGGGTAAATTTCTATTGATCCCTTTTGACATGATGCGACAAGGAGAAAGCTCTTTAAATCAGGAAAGGAATTATTCAACGTTCCAATGTGACAACATCGTATTAATGATCTAAAAATATTTCTATCAAAAATTCAAAACGTAAAAAATTGGCTAAACAGTAATAGTACAGTCAAATCCGTCTTTTTGTCGGACAAAATTCGCAACAAAGCGATTTTAACGGGATATGGTCGGGACAGGTCCCAGGAATCATTCCAGTAAATTCCCAAAAAATCTGGCGTGAGCAAAATCCACAATTACCACTTTTTTACCACCTTTTTACCACTTTGGTTTTCCGCATATAAGTCACGTTCTGAATATCCTAGAAGATTCTAGTTTAAAGCAGTGTGTTTAGAAAACAAAGGAGAACAACTTTTTCTTAAACAACTTTTTCAAAAATAAATTATTTAATTAATTAATTAAATAATTAATAAATTTTTAAATATTTAAAAAATATATTTTCATAAAAATGTTCACAATTACATTCCACGTATATTGAACTAATTTTTATAAAAAATTTGAAAATTTTCACTTTCAATATTTTGGACTTGTAAAATTTTCGAAACTTGTAAAGAATAACCACTATTTACCACTTTTTACCACATTGGATCTCCGCTAATAAAACGACTTCTGAATTTCATAAAAGGTTGTAGATTGAACCGATGTGTTAATAACATAAGAGATAACAACTTTTATTCGCCAACCTTTGGATTAGATGATTAATTAATCAGTTAATCAATTATTTAACAAATATTCAAAAATTATAAAAATTATTTTCGATCAAACTATTTTAAAATTGCATAACACGAATAATTAACAATTTTTCATTAAAAATTAAGTTTCAATCCATCGCGATATTTTGTAGTATTATAATATAGAAGTATGTATCTTATGAAGCCATTTAAAATCGGACTATACCTCTGCACTCCAATCGTCACGGCAAAGATTTTTGGTAAAAACTATATTTTTGAAATTTTTAAAAATTTACTTAAATTATCTAATTAATTAATTGATTAATTATCTAATCCAAAGGTTGGCGCATAAAAATTTGCTCTCTTTTATATTTTGAACACATCGGTTCAATCTAGAACCTTGCCTTCTACGACATTCAGAAGTCGTTTTATTAGCGGAGATCCAATGTGGTAAAAATTGGTAAATAGTGGTTATTCTTTACAAATTTCGAAAATTTTACAAGTCCAAAATATTGAAAGTGAAAATTTTCAAATTTTTTATAAAAATTAGTTCAATATACGTGGAATGTAATTGTGAACATTTTTATGAAAATATATTTTTTAAATATTTGAAAATTTATTAATTATTTAATTAATTAATTAAATAATTTATTTTTGAAAAAGTTGTTTAAGAAAAAGTTGTTCTCCTTTGTTTTCTAAACACACTGCTTTAAACTAGAATCTTCTAGGATATTCAGAACGTGACTTATTTGCGGAAAACCAAAGTGGTAAAAAGGTGGTAAAAAAGTGGTAATTGTGGATTTTGCTCAAGTCAGATTTTTTGGGAATTTTCTGGAATGATTCCTGGGACCTGTCCCGACCATATCCCGTTAAAATCGCTTTGTTGCGAATTTTGTCCGACAAAGGCTCAAATAAGGACGGATTTGACTGTACTATAAACACTTCCTACCTTATCGAATAATATTGAACGCAGCCAACAAATGTTCCATAATCCACTAATTCAAAACTCCTGGCCCCTTAATGATCTACCCTGATGTGTATTGTGTAACCTTGGATCCTGATACCTGAAACCTTGATAACTGTTGTTTCTTCAGGTTGACAGTACTGCACTTCAGGTCCCACTTAAAACAATGGCCGAGTATTTGGCACATTTTGCATTTATTAAATTAGCACTTTTTGTGGACTGTAGCCCCCAACTCCCAAGCCTACTCCGGCCTACCCCTGAAAATGATAAAGGGCGTAATATCATGACACTTTAAATCAATAAATCTAAGTTCGAGCTAACAGATGGATTAGTTCACTGCTCCCTCTCTCTCTCTCTCTCTCTCTCTCTCTCTCTCTCTCTCTCTCTCTCTCTCTCTCTCTCTCTCTCTCTCTCTCTCTCTCTCTCTCTCTCTCTCTCTCTCTCTCTCTCTCTCTCTCTCTCTCTCTCTATTTCTCTCATTGAATCTACCTCAATCCTCGTGATCATTGACTCAGTGTTAGAAATCATCACATGCTGAGAATATGGCAGTAGACCAGGTCAAGACAATTGAACGACATTCATTAAGCTGAAAAATTATTGTGCAGTTTTTAGTCTTACAGACTCTGTCCCTAGCCTAGTTAAAGTGGCCTCTCTTGCCCGGGGCAGGATGGTGCACTATCACTAGGTCAGGGACCTGCCCCAAAAGCCTTCAAGCCCTGTCAACCTTAGCACAATATGTCATTAAAACTAGGATAAGCCTTGCTTCAATCACTTTCTGCAGTGCAAAAGCTCCTGACAAATTGGTCCATATCCTGCTTCAAACGTATCTCACTGTACTTACGTAATGTCAGGGAAAAGATTTAAATAATAAAATCTTGGATATAAAGCTTTTCGTCATGCCACCGTACGCATCATGCCACCGTACGCTATAAGTCACAACGTATCACCTCAGCGGATCCGTAGTTCTCAATACACTTCAGACAGTAGACTATCTGTATTGAATGTTTCACTAACTATATTGAATGTTTCACTAATCACTAACTGTAGTGAATGTTTCACTATCTGTATTGAATGTTTCATTAACTGTAGTGAATGTTTCACTAACTGTATTGAATGTTTCACTAACTGTAGTGAATGTTTCACTAACTGTAGTGAATGTTTCACTAACTGTAGTGAATGTTTCACTAACTGTAGTGAATGTTTCACTTACTGTAGTGAATGTTTCATTAACTGTAGTGAATGTTTCACTAACTATATTAAGTGTTTCACTAACTGTAATGAATGTTTCAAACTTTCACTAACTATATTGAATGTTTTACTAACTGTAGTGAATGTTTCACTAACTATATTGAATGTTTCAGTAACTGTAGTGAATGTTTCACTATCTGTAGTGAATGTTTCACTATCTGTAGTGAATGTTTCACTAACTATATTGAATGTTTCACTAACTGCAGTGAATGTTTCACTAACAGTAGTGAATGTTTCACTAACTGTAGTGAATGTTTCACTAACTGTAGTGAATGTTTTACTAACTGTAGTGAATGTTTCACTAACTATATTGAATGTTTCACTAACTGTAGTGAATGTTTCACTAACTATATTGAATGTTTCACTAACTGTAGTGAATGTTTCACTAAATGTAGTGAATGTTTCACTAACTGTAGTGAATGTTTCACTAACTGTAGTGAATGTTTCACTAAATGTAGTGAATGTTTCACTAACTGTAGTGAATGTTTCACTAACTGTAGTGAATGTTTCACTAACAGTAGTGAATGTTTCACTAACTGTAGTGAATGTTTCACTAACAGTAGTGAATGTTTCACTAACTATATTGAATGTTTCAGGACAACATGACCCTGAAGTGTCAGGGAATAACGAAGCTAGTGTATCTCCAGATGTTGGGATATGACATGTCCTGGTCAAACTTCAACACTATCGAGGTGAGTTATACTAACGCTAAGTGTGGGGCGTTTCCCGCCCCCGCTTAGAGTATTCAGTGTGGTCTAGAATTAACAGGATATTGTGAGCAATAAAATGTCAGCCTCATTGAACGAGTTTCTGTTTCATGATCAGGCAATTTAAGTGCTCACCAGGTGTTCAATGTCTTTCCAGCCACTGGACATGCAACGTGGTCTCATATCTTCATATTACCATATTACGTCTAATGATCAAATGATCTCATTTTTTGTTCTTTTAAAAATAGTTAAAGTCCTCTCAATTCTAAATTATCTACAATTCTTTCTATTATACAGTATAATAGGAATAAGAATATGTATAATGTGAAAGGTGTCTCGTTGTTTCTATATAGTTTCTTTACACCTTCAACCCATAAAAGCCTCTCCTCCTCCTCCACACTTTCTAAACACCTGATCACGTGATGCGTTCCAGATGATACCATTTACTACATGGTATGTAGTACATATATTGTATACTATGTACATTCCGGTGACACACAATGTATATTCCAGGTGATGAGCGCCACAAAGTTCACATTCAAGAGAGTGGGGTATTTGGCAGCTAGCCAGAGTTTCCACGAAAACACTGACCTTCTCATGTTGGCTACTAATATGATACGCAAAGATTTGTGCAGTGTCAACCAGTATGAGAGTAGTTTAGCTCTTACAGGTTTGCGAACAATTTGTTGTTTGTTGAAATGTTAGTCAAATATTATGTAAATAAGTGAACAATTTGTTGAAATATTAGTTAACTTTTCGGGACAATTCGCCGAAAGCTAGGAAGTAGATGTAGTTGAGACAGTGAGTATTTGGTATTCGGGGTAATAGCCATGTTCTGGGAAAATCTTAAAGTATTATATGTGATTATAATATATCTATTTTAGCGTACCAATTTGGTATATTATGATGGTGTCATTCCTAATTTCATGCTCCACGATGCAAAAAATATAAAAACGAGTGCTCGTTCTTAGAATAGTTATCACAACGTACGAAATGTATAATGTATATTTGATATGCATTGTACGGACTGGTACTCCTTGCCAACTCTCCTTTAGATATTCGCATATTCGTGCATACTATTTCCGATAAAAATAAAATACCATCTTACAAATATTTTGAATAAACACGCACAACTGTTGATGGAATTATTATGATGATGGTTCGGCTTTTTTGGAAGAAAACGAACAAGAACAATCTGTTTATCTAAATACATTGTAACGATTTCAAAATATTGAGAAAAATGTCAACTTACTTTAACTTTTACATTATAAACGTACCTACCATGTACCATGTACACAATAACATGTTCACTTACAGTCTTACACCCCATTCAGCGCAGTTTATACATAATACATAGGAAACAGGTATAGTGCATACCAGCCTTTAAGTTACATATTTACAAATATAAGGTATTTAACAATATGTACATTGTATCTTACACCTAATTTAATTAGTAATTGGTAATTAGGCCCTAATTACTATACGTTGCATAATATCACGTGTTACACAATCCAACCTACCACAAATCGTATTCCCCTGTGAATTGAGAGTGTTTACATTATATTTAACTACGCGATGTACTAATTGCTATAAATCTTGTTCTAATTTCTCTTCATGACACGGAAATCTGGGAAATAGCTCACGTTACCCAGTCTGGAATCTCCAGTATCGCATAAGTAGAATAGTTAACGAAATACTCTGTTTATAGATTGCAATTATATTATACGTTCCACCTGAACTTGCACGCTTTGGATAGGGAATACACAGTTCATCAGATTAATAATCTGCACGTTTTCTATCACAACCTGCAAGCTAATACGCAGTTCATGTAATTAATTAATTGCACTAATTAAGTAATTATCCGTACACTGATCAGGAAGCATAGTGTGATTATCTGTCCAGTCTGAAGCACACGATTTCTCTTCTCCAGTACACGCTTATCAGTAGAGGCTGGTAGTGATGTCTACTAGTTTACAGGAATAGTTTACAGGAATAGTTTACAGGAATAGTTTACAGGAATAGTTTACAGGAATAGTTTACAGGAATAGTTTACAGGAATAGTTTAAAGATATACTCGTATCACTTGCTCTCATCTGCTAAATACCCACTAATTGAACTGTACATACAGCACTTAAACAATTATCATAGCACATGCAAATATCATTATATTATATTTCATTCTGTTTAGTTATTGAACGGGGGGGGGGGGGGGGGGGGGGGGGGGGGGGGGGGGGGGGGGTAATGACTACTTTTGGGGGACTTGGGGAATTACGTCAACGATTTTACCCCGAGTCCCCATGATTTTTAGTCCTCATTAGTCCCCAAAAGTCTCCATTGGTAGTCATTACCCCCCCCCCCCCCCCCCCCCCCCCCTATTGAACTGATAACTTATTAGTAATTTAGCACACTAATTCAACTAACCCTCCACAATTTCTACTAGATTTCCCAATTTCCCCAGTTAACCCCCGATCAATATGTTACTAATACCGCTAAACAAACCCCTGTCAATGCTGCCTAATAGCTCTCTATTGTCTCTAAGATGTACAATGGTATTGGCTGTAGTACCATGCCCATATTTGGTGTTTCTGGTACATGGCCAGGGTAGTGGCGTAACGTTGCCATGGTCACCGTGTTCGTTAACTCTTATCATGCCTTATATGGAAGTACCAAACAATATCTGTTTTATCTTCACACTCCCGGAGAAATATCACACGATATGATCCTGTTTATATATTGTATATATTCACTGTGTTCAGCGGTAGTGGAGGGATGGAGGGCTCAGTAGATAGAGATTAGATTAGATTTGAAAAATTTTCAAAACGGTATATACAAATCAACAGGATTATAAAACATAAAAATAAAAACCGCTTTGTCGGCAAATGCCAGGGCCCTAACAATCCACTCAAAAAAATTCAAAACAGGACCCAGAAGCTTGTAAGCCACTGGTCAAAAAAAAGTGAAATCTAATTAAATAAAGATTTTGTTCAAAAATCAAATAAAATCAAAATTACGCGACCAAAATTCAAAAACTCTCATAAATGTGAAAATCTTAGTATCAATCAATATCCATGATCAGAATAAATGAGGAAAAACGCGAAAATCACATACATTACTGTATTACAACAGATGTCAAAAATTGTTATTAACAGAGATCCAATGTGTCCATAATAAAATAATAAAGATCAACTAGCTACCCAATCAAACGGTAGTCAAGACAGGGTAACTAGAGTAGTAGGCAGTAACTTAGTAGTAATAGCAGAGTAGGGATAAATTTGCTATCAGTGAGAAAGATGAGGGAATAGTCAGCATCAGGATGCAGAGAGTTTTCCCGTATGCGTCCATGCTTTAGGTGTAGTGTCAAAGTTGTGACTTCCAGTAAGATCAGGTAATCTGGTGATCTTAAACCCGAGCATCTCGAACCCCGTTTGACTCTTCTCACCCGGTGTCGCACAATACATGTACTGTGCGACACCAAGTGAGAAAAGCTGCTGAAATAAGGTTACGGAAAATGGGGGGGTTATCAAACCCCCACATAGTAAAGAAACGGGGCGTTTAATGAGGGGGAAGTGTTGGAGCTATGCCCCTCAGGGGGTAATTTAAGATTCAAAATAGAACATTAAGCAAGGTAAAACAGCTAAAAACGCAGCTCAAATGATCACACACACTGAATAAGAATTGTCACAAATTGAACATGAACATGCACATGCAGTCGGAATTACCCAGCTTGAATAAGAATCTAAAAAATGTCCAATTTGAACATGTAAATGTACATGCAGTCACATGCCAAAATATCAAAAACATGCAATATGGTAACAACATGCATGGTGTTAACGTGTAACTGAGTATGACTCGGGGTTCTTAGATGCAGTGACAAAAAATGTTTGCGCATCAAGATTGGATGGTTCCCATGTGTTATTTGAACCATTAGATTGGTACATGAGAATGAACTGCTTAATATTGTTCTTGAAGGATGAAATTGTGGTAATATTTCTAGTGAGATAACTTGAGTTGTTAACAGCATTCCAGATTCTGGGAACAGCGTATAACATGTTGTGCATATTATCTTTATAATACACTCTAGGACAAATAAGCCGTTTATCGTTAACAGCTGAAGTTTGGAAGTGTTTTCTTAGTAACGTTGGGTAACCACCAGCATGCACTACCTGAAATCCCTCAGTGAGAATAAATTTATGATAAAGTCCATACACGGTAAGCACTTTGTTTTCACTGAAAACACGCTTCGTATTTCCTTGCTGATGTTTGTTAACTCTGCGAATCCCGAACACATTTCTTAATGCCTTTTTTTGATTGATAAAAAGTTTATTCAACTTATTAGTTGCTGTGCTGCTTCCCCAAACCGTGATCCCATAGGAGAGATGCGACTGTACGAGTGCATTAAAAATAGCAATTCTTAACATTTTAGGGGCGGTTTTACGAAGTTGATAAAGCACACCATTAACTTTGGAAACCTTCTTCCCGATATAGTTTATATGATCTGACCAATTTAGCGACTCCTCAATAAACACCCCTGGAAACTTGATACATTTAACTCGCTGTAAATTGTAGCCATCATAGGTCAAAGTATAATTATCAGCCTCAAAATTAGGCTTCGAGCGAGGTGTTCTGAAGAGCATGAATTTAGATTTAGTAAGGTTAATATGAAGGTAGTTGGCATCAATATAAGATTTAAGATTGCAAAGAAGTGCGTTCGCTTTTTCAAAAGCACCACCCAGAGTTTCACTTGTAATAAACGTATTGCAGTCGTCTGCAAATAAGACGAACAAGTTTCTATCTGCACAATTGCTCGTACAGAGTACAGACTGCAGTATATCGCAATTAATCAGATATCACGTGTTAAAGTACCACGTGTTAAAAGTGTCACGTGTTAAAAGGCATATTACACGTGTATTTAATCTGAAGTGTGGTGGAAGATGATCACCCCGTGTATTAATACACCTGTTATAATGTACAGGACAACAATAGTATCTACAGTCCTAACTCTCCAACTGACCTGTAACTCTGTTTTTAATTATAGCTGGCTGCATTCTGAAATCTAAATAGTTCCATGACAATCTCGGTTTGAATCAAGTGAAAAATGGAATGTAAATACATTTTTTAATAACATTGAATAGGTACCTGTTTCAGAGTTGTAAATTTTGTACAACTGTACTACAATTTGACAGCATTCCTAGTTCCTACTGTAGCTGTTAGTTGAAATATTTGGCACACTAAAAGTGGTCACAGATTGAACCTTCTTATCAGGCCTCCGGTTGTAATCTGATATGTACATCATGATATGTATCGCATACTTTAACTTGTAGTACACAGTTCTAACCCTTCTTCCCACGGTTTATTTCCATATTTACTACAACTGAGCCATGCTTCATGATATAATATTATGTACATAATATAATATGCCATCCACCATAATACCTTACTCCTTTATAATATGCAATATAATGTATGTTTTCTATACTACACGGTAAAAGTATCTATGATAAGCACAGTAACTCTAAAATTCTCCTCAGGATTATATTTTCTCTATTTTTGCAGGATTGGCTTGTTTTGTGAGTGGAGAGTTGGCACGTGACCTCAGCTCGGACCTCATGACCCTTATCTCCTCCTCTCGTCCTTTCATCCGCAAGAAGGCTATTCTCACCATGTACAAGGTTCGTTTCTCAAAGTACGAATTAGCGTTTGGTATAAGCTGTTTACCATGATTTGCTCTGTAATGTACGCTCCTAAAACATCTCCTCTGTAGCTTTGTTTATTTCCCCTCTATCGTGTCTAATATAGCACTTATCAGGTGCTACTGAAGTTTCCAGACGCACTGCGCCCTGCATTCCCTCGAATAAAGGAGAAGTTAGATGACCCGGACCCTGGAGTCCAATGTGCTGCCGTTAATGTTATCTGTGAACTAGCCAGGAAGAACCCCAAGGTAGGCACCAAGTTGTTAATTAGTTGTTAATTAGCGGTTAATTAGTTAGGAGGATTCCTGGCGTTGATATTGCGCAAATTTGTTCAGCGTTCTGGATTTTGGATGGGTCTTTCGTTGAACCACCCCTAAATTTGGTGCAATAATGATAATATTACAATCATAATGATAACGAATGACAAGTAAACAAAATTTGATAACAAATATTTTCCTTTCAGAACTACATTTCACTAGCCCCGGTTCTGTTCAAAATGTTGACAAATTCCTCCAACAACTGGATGTTGATAAAAGTGATAAAATTGTTTGGAGCGCTCATGCCTGAAGAGCCACGACTGTGTAAAAAGCTGGTGGATCCTCTTACTAACATTATTCACAGGTAACCAGATGCTAAAATCTAATTCCTATCTGAAAGTCTACTGTTCATACAATTAATAAGCTACACTTTAAATATACAATTACTGAGAGCTGCGCTTTGACTAAAGAGTTTTCAGTAAATTCCAATTGGTTGTTGTTTAAACAACACAGTATCATCTCATGTAGTAGTAAAATACGGTTTATAACATTGCTCCGTAATTAGGAGCGGCTGCGATGAATGGGGACTTTCCATCCCATGACAACATTAAATATGTTGACTCTGTTACATCGCTTCCTTAAATTATTTGTTACATTATGTATAGTTGTCTTGAAAGTATTAAAAATGTGACATATCTTCTCTCCTCCGCAGTACCAACGCAATGTCACTGTTATATGAGAGTATCAACACACTGATAACCGGCGTTCCAGACCACATACCGTCGATCCAGCTGGCTGCTCAAAAACTCAACATTATGTTGGACGACTCCGACCAGAATCTCAAATATTTGGGATTGTTGGCTCTCAACCAGATCCTTAAACATCATCCTAAATATGTGAGCCCGTTGAAGGACAAGATAATAAAGTGTCTGGATGATAAAGATGAAAGGTAAAATATTTTCCTTTTTTTTAAGTAATTAAAACTAAAAAAAGTTTACTGAGCTTCAGGTTTTAGAGGACTGATAAAATGTTATATTTAATAGAATCTACTAATAACAGATCCTTTACAAATTGTACTAAGAAATCTCACTTATCTCTTGTTCACCTCCCTTCTTTGTAACCTAAAACCTCGAATATCACTGCATTCTTGTACAATACTCGCCCATTTGTTTTGAAAAAACGTGCGATATGACCATGAGTTATATCATGAGTTATATCATGTCATTTGAGATTGGGGATCAGCTGTAACAAAATGCTTTACAAATACTTTATAAATTTGTAAAATATCAAGTTTGCGCGACAAAATGAAACAAAAATCATGATCGATAGTTAATTGACAATTCGATTAGGTAATTAATTAAGTGATTATCCTGTGTAGTATAAGAAGAAGAGCACTAGATCTGGTGGTCGGGATGGTTAGCAGGAAGAATTTACCAGACATTGTTAAGAAGCTTGTGGAACATGTGGACATGTCTGAGAATCTCGCCTTCAAGGAGGTAAAGTCTTTGATGTATTTTGGATGCTATCGATTATTTATCATGTTTTATGTACTGGTAAAGTCTTTGAGAGCTGATGAATACCGATAACAGGCATGGTCGTACGAATAACGTTATTCAATTTAACAGCTACAAATCTTAAATACCAACATATCTTCAGGAGCTACTACTAAAGATAGTAGATATCTGCAGCCAGGGGAACTACCAATATGTCACCAACTTTGAATGGTACATCACTGTCCTGGTGGAACTCACTAAACTGGAAAATACGAGTCACGGCAGAGTTCTGGCTAACCAAATGCTGGATGTCACCATCAGGGTGAAGACGTTGCGCACGTTCGCGGTGCGCCAGATGACCATACTGATTGAGAATATTGATAAGTTTGCCAAGTCGGAGAAGAATGGGATCTGTGAGGTGATATATGCAGCAGGTTGGATCGTGGGAGAGTTTAATGAGTTCGTCACTGATAAGGAGAAGGTTTGCTCTATTTTACATTTAGATAATTATTTCTTTTCCTCTTATCAACTTCATTTTAACTGTGACTAGTGATATACTTTAGTTTACTTATCGTCATTAAAGATCAGGTTGTTATCTATATTTAATAAGTAATTCTGATAATTATTTCAGGTTTTAAGTGATCTGTTCAGCCCGAAGGTTCTCCTTCTGCCTCCCCACATCCAAGCTATCCTAGTGCAAACCACCATGAAACTGTACGGCAGTATCTTGGTAGATTACGAAAAACTGGGGGCAGATGAAAACAGCCGTGTGCTGGGCGAGATGTTCGTATCAAAGATAGCAATGTTCACTGATAGTAGCGATCTTGAGGTTCAGGAGAGGTCTTGTTGTGCGCTCCAGCTCGTCAAATGTCTCATTAAACTCCAAGCTAAGGGCGCGGGAGTGGCCAACGAACTGATGGATCTCTTCTGTGAAGATCTCAACCCGGTGGCTCCCAAAGCTCAGAAGAAGGTTCCAGTACCGGAAGGTTTGGATCTGGACGCCTGGATCTACACACCCAAGCCCTCCAAATACTCAGACGATGAGGAAGACGGACCCGTACAGTTTGGAGACTCCTCCCACTCTCCTCTCCCTCAGTCCACTGGGTACGGTGGAAGCATGCAAGGGTTCGGTAGCGAGTCTCTGGCTTATCCCAACAGCTCCTCTGGAAAGTATCAGGAGCTGAGTCAGGCAGAGATTCAGCAGGCGCGGGAAACCCGAGAAACTCAGCACAAATCTAACCCTTATTACTTACAAGGTTCACTACCTACCAACAAAGTATCCTCTCACAACAAACCTGATCTAAGTGTCACTGACATTCCCGTTTCTTCACTCACTCTGGATGTACCCCTCAAGATTGAGAAACCTTCTAAGAAAGGCAAGAAAGGAAAGAAGGGGAAGAAAGGTAAGAAAGGAAGGAAATTGGCCGAGGAAGAGGAGGAAGAGGAGGATTTAGGGCCGGTTGTTGATGTTATGGTGTCTGAAATGCCAGAAGGAGCATTAGACAGTGACGAGGAGGAGAAGAAGGCTGATCCAAATGACCCTCACGCTGCTCTCAATATCGACCTGTCAGCTCCGTTTGTAGAGTCAGATTACATAAAGGGTCCTGTCCCTTACTCTCAGAGTTCCAACCCTCCACCCACTCTCAATTTAACAGAGAGGAAGACAAAGGGGAAGAAGAAGAGGAAGAAAAAGGGAGTGGAAGAAGAGGAGCCTAAGAAGAGTGTTGAGTTTGAGAAGAAGAAGACTTTGAAGGATATTGTTGCGGAGGCAGAAAAGAAAACCCAGATAGCTGTTCACAAAGTCCCAGAACCTGAGAGTGAGTTTACGTCACAGTCCATCAGTGACTGGCTGAACGAGCGAAAACCGGGAGAAGGACCACCCTTAAAATCGGATAAACCAAGGAAGAAAAAGGGAAAACCTAAAGAAACAGCTAAACCTGCCAAAACGAAGAAAAAGAAAAAGAAAAACAGTGTAGGAGAAGACAAGGAGAACACGAGTAACAATTTGATACCAGATATCATGTCACTGGAGGAGAACGGGGTGAGCTCCACAACTTCACCAGCAGGTGTGGTCCTGGGAGAGGATGAAAGTATGAGTGTGAGATACCACCCTCACGTGCCCTCACACAGCAACCTCTCACTCTCTCTAGATTTCTCAAACATGTCACCCCACAGTATCTCCAACATAAAGTTTGATATATCCGATAGTATCAACACCAAACTTGTTCGGTCCTCTCCCGGAAGTTTGTCAATACCATTTGCTCTGACTCCAGGGCAAGCAAACTCCTTTACTCTATCGCTATCTCTACAGTCTATCTACATCTCACAGAAATTGAGGGGGTCCGTTACTTATTTTATCGAAACTGAACCTGGAAGTAAAGACGAGAAAATAATTAACTTCACTCTTCCCCTGAATTTGGCAATGTTTATCGTGTCCGCACCTTGCACAGAGGAGCAATTTACCAAGTTGATTGCAAGCAACAACCTCGAATCTTCAAGCACTTTAACCTTACCTCTCTCGTCCTCTGCCGATCAATGCATCGAGCAATTTAGTACCAACTTTAAACTGACCGTGGTCGAACGAATTGGGGGAGCGGTCTCACTTTATGGTAAAACATCGCGAGATGATGAACTGTGCGTTTTGATGAAACTAAATGGAAATATTAGTATCGACATCAAAGGTTCTGACAGCCAACTTGTCAATAGCTTTGTAGATTTGGTTAATTCAGCAAAACTTTAGTGAATATTTTCGCCGCTATTAATTAGAATCAATTGAGCTGGGCTCGTTGAGACATGTACAGAAAATTAACCAAGTTTTTTGGGAAATGTTATAAAATTCTGTTTTTATTGTTTAATAAAGAGGGAAATTTTGGCAGGGTAAAAGATAAATTTAATGGATTATGAGGTATAAGTGACATTTATACCCGATAATGACGATAAATAAGTTTTCTTACTTGAAATGAACGTGTTGATTATAAGATTGATGAGAGGCTGTTTTATGAATTGACTGCCGCAGATTTTATCATTGTTGGGGGACGATCCAAGTTTTTCTGAACACGTGACAGCTCTTAACCAATTGAATATACTCAGACTGTTGTCACGTATCAAGAAACAAATTTGGACTCTCCTTAAATCATGATAACATCGTTTCATCGATAAAATTTTGTAGTAGTTGAACACACGGTTAAGACTGACAGCTGTGTTTTTGCGAAAGTGTTAAAGTTTTAAGAATGCTATATTTTACTATATACCTCGCTTGTTTTTGGTGTTAATTTATTCGTTGTCTTCTTGTGATTTACAGTTTAATTCTATTGAATTGCGTGTTGAATTCCATCATTAGATATTAACTGATTTATGAAATATCAATGTCATCGTTGTCAACTGACACTCTTAATCTTGCGTTTACGATATTTTAAGTTACGAATATGGTAGAATGAGTCATCTTTAAAGGTTGATAAGTATTGTAATTTACGTGTATTTTTGTTGTTTAACTGAATCTCGCATGGATTGTAGTTCCAGGAAAATGAACAGAAGGAGAGCACGTTTCCTTGATTTGTGTAGTGGATTTGTAGTGGATTTCACAGGTGTAGTGGATTTGTGTTCCAGGGTAGGTGGAACATGTTTTGGTGGTTAAATAGGTAGTACGTGACCCAAACGATCATAAAAACCGAGTTTCGACCTCCCAACCCACTCAGGCCACTCCCAGGGGCCACGCCCATCCCAAAATTACTGAAATCCAGGTAAAATCAAGACCGAAAATCTTTACCCCCGTAGTGCATTTATGTTCCGGGGTAGGTGGAACATGTTTTGGTGGTTAAATAGTTAGTACTTGTCCCAAACCATCAGAAAAACCGAGTTTCGACCTCCCAACCCACTCAGGCCACTCCCAGGGGCCACGCCCATCCCAAAATTACTGAAAATTAGGTAAAATCAAGACCGAAAATCTTTACCCCCGTAGTGCATTTATGTTCCGGGGTAGGTGGAACATGTTTTGGTGGTTAAATAGTTAGTACTTGTCCCAAACCATCAGAAAAACCGAGTTTCGACCTCCCAACCCACTCAGGCCACTCCCAGGGGCCACGCCCATCCCAAAATTACTGAAAATTAGGTAAAATCAAGACCGAAAATCTTTACCCCCGTAGTGCATTTATGTTCCGGGGTAGGTGGAACATGTTTTGGTGGTTAAATAGTTAGTACTTGTCCCAAACCATCAGAAAAACCGAGTTTCGACCTCCCAACCCACTCAGGCCACTCCCAGGGGCCACGCCCATCCCAAAATTACTGAAAATTAGGTAAAATCAAGACCGAAAATCTTTACCCCCGTAGTGCATTTATGTTCCGGGGTAGGTGGAACATGTTTTGGTGGTTAAATAGTTAGTACTTGTCCCAAACCATCAGAAAAACCGAGTTTCGACCTCCCAACCCACTCAGGCCACTCCCAGGGGCCACGCCCATCCCAAAATTACTGAAAATTAGGTAAAATCAAGACCGAAAATCTTTACCCCCGTAGTGCATTTATGTTCCGGGGTAGGTGGAACATGTTTTGGTGGTTAAATAGTTAGTACTTGTCCCAAACCATCAGAAAAACCGAGTTTCGACCTCCCAACCCACTCAGGCCACTCCCAGGGGCCACGCCCATCCCAAAATTACTGAAATTAGGTAAAATCAAGACCGAAAATCTTTACCCCCGTAGTGCATTTATGTTCCGGGGTAGGTGGAACATGTTTTGGTGGTTAAATAGTTAGTACTTGTCCCAAACCATCAGAAAAACCGAGTTTCGACCTCCCAACCCACTCAGGCCACTCCCAGGGGCCACGCCCATCCCAAAATTACTGAAATTAGGTAAAATCAAGACCGAAAATCTTTACCCCCGTAGTGCATTTATGTTCCGGGGTAGGTGGAACATGTTTTGGTGGTTAAATAGTTAGTACTTGTCCCAAACCATCAGAAAAACCGAGTTTCGACCTCCCAACCCACTCAGGCCACTCCCAGGGGCCACGCCCATCCCAAAATTACTGAAAATTAGGTAAAATCAAGACCGAAAATCTTTACCCCCGTAGTGCATTTATGTTCCGGGGTAGGTGGAACATGTTTTGGTGGTTAAATAGTTAGTACTTGTCCCAAACCATCAGAAAAACCGAGTTTCGACCTCCCAACCCACTCAGGCCACTCCCAGGGGCCACGCCCATCCCAAAATTACTGAAAATTAGGTAAAATCAAGACCGAAAATCTTTACCCCCGTAGTGCATTTATGTTCCGGGGTAGGTGGAACATGTTTTGGTGGTTAAATAGTTAGTACTTGTCCCAAACCATCAGAAAAACCGAGTTTCGACCTCCCAACCCACTCAGGCCACTCCCAGGGGCCACGCCCATCCCAAAATTACTGAAAATTAGGTAAAATCAAGACCGAAAATCTTTACCCCCGTAGTGCATTTATGTTCCGGGGTAGGTGGAACATGTTTTGGTGGTTAAATAGTTAGTACTTGTCCCAAACCATCAGAAAAACCGAGTTTCGACCTCCCAACCCACTCAGGCCACTCCCAGGGGCCACGCCCATCCCAAAATTACTGAAAATCCAGGTATAATCAAGACCGAAAATCTTTACCCCCGTAGTGCATTTATGTTCCGGGGTAGGTGGAACATGTTTTGGTGGTTAAATAGTTAGTACTTGTCCCAAACCATCAGAAAAACCGAGTTTCGACCTCCCAACCCACTCAGGCCACTCCCAGGGGCCACGCCCATCCCAAAATTACTGAAAATTAGGTAAAATCAAGACCGAAAATCTTTACCCCCGTAGTGCATTTATGTTCCGGGGTAGGTGGAACATGTTTTGGTGGTTAAATAGTTAGTACTTGTCCCAAACCATCAGAAAAACCGAGTTTCGACCTCCCAACCCACTCAGGCCACTCCCAGGGGCCACGCCCATCCCAAAATTACTGAAAATTAGGTAAAATCAAGACCGAAAATCTTTACCCCCGTAGTGCATTTATGTTCCGGGGTAGGTGGAACATGTTTTGGTGGTTAAATAGTTAGTACTTGTCCCAAACCATCAGAAAAACCGAGTTTCGACCTCCCAACCCACTCAGGCCACTCCCAGGGGCCACGCCCATCCCAAAATTACTGAAAATTAGGTAAAATCAAGACCGAAAATCTTTACCCCCGTAGTGCATTTATGTTCCGGGGTAGGTGGAACATGTTTTGGTGGTTAAATAGTTAGTACTTGTCCCAAACCATCAGAAAAACCGAGTTTCGACCTCCCAACCCACTCAGGCCACTCCCAGGGGCCACGCCCATCCCAAAATTACTGAAATCAGGTAAAATCAAGACCGAAAATCTTTACCCCCGTAGTGCATTTATGTTCCGGGGTAGGTGGAACATGTTTTGGTGGTTAAATAGTTAGTACTTGTCCCAAACCATCAGAAAAACCGAGTTTCGACCTCCCAACCCACTCAGGCCACTCCCAGGGGCCACGCCCATCCCAAAATTACTGAAAATTAGGTAAAATCAAGACCGAAAATCTTTACCCCCGTAGTGCATTTATGTTCCGGGGTAGGTGGAACATGTTTTGGTGGTTAAATAGTTAGTACTTGTCCCAAACCATCAGAAAAACCGAGTTTCGACCTCCCAACCCACTCAGGCCACTCCCAGGGGCCACGCCCATCCCAAAATTACTGAAAATCAGGTAAAATCAAGACCGAAAATCTTTACCCCCGTAGTGCATTTATGTTCCGGGGTAGGTGGAACATGTTTTGGTGGTTAAATAGTTAGTACTTGTCCCAAACCATCAGAAAAACCGAGTTTCGACCTCCCAACCCACTCAGGCCACTCCCAGGGGCCACGCCCATCCCAAAATTACTGAAAATTAGGTAAAATCAAGACCGAAAATCTTTACCCCCGTAGTGCATTTATGTTCCGGGGTAGGTGGAACATGTTTTGGTGGTTAAATAGTTAGTACTTGTCCCAAACCATCAGAAAAACCGAGTTTCGACCTCCCAACCCACTCAGGCCACTCCCAGGGGCCACGCCCATCCCAAAATTACTGAAAATTAGGTAAAATCAAGACCGAAAATCTTTACCCCCGTAGTGCATTTATGTTCCGGGGTAGGTGGAACATGTTTTGGTGGTTAAATAGTTAGTACTTGTCCCAAACCATCAGAAAAACCGAGTTTCGACCTCCCAACCCACTCAGGCCACTCCCAGGGGCCACGCCCATCCCAAAATTACTGAAAATTAGGTAAAATCAAGACCGAAAATCTTTACCCCCGTAGTGCATTTATGTTCCGGGGTAGGTGGAACATGTTTTGGTGGTTAAATAGTTAGTACTTGTCCCAAACCATCAGAAAAACCGAGTTTCGACCTCCCAACCCACTCAGGCCACTCCCAGGGGCCACGCCCATCCCAAAATTACTGAAAATTAGGTAAAATCAAGACCGAAAATCTTTACCCCCGTAGTGCATTTATGTTCCGGGGTAGGTGGAACATGTTTTGGTGGTTAAATTTTCGGTATTGCGAAGGGGAGGCCTGCCTTCCGATATCGCATTACAAAGGGTAACCCTCGAGTCCAAAATCGTATATCGAAGGGTAGGTGCGGACTTCGAAAACCGAAAAAAATATTTTTGGCTCAGAATGATCAGAGTAGCATGAAACATGAACAAAAGTAGTTTCCAAGAAAACTTTGAAAATTTTTGACTTAGAAAATTTTCGGTCCGAGTCATTCTCGATACGTACCTCTGAAAGCAGAGCTCCCGCTTCCGAGCTCGTATTGCGAAGGGGAGCCCTGCCTTCCGAGATCGCATTACAAAGGGGAACCCTCGAGTCCAAAATCGTATATCGAACTTCGAAAACCGAAAAAAAATATTTTTGGCTCAGAATGATCAGAGTAGCATGAAACATGAACAAAGTAGTTTCCAAGAAAACTTTGAAAATTTTTGACTTAGGAAATTTTCGGTCCGAGTCATTCTCGATACGTACCTCTGAAAGCAGAGCTCCCGCTTCCGAGCTCGTATTGCAAAGGGGAGGCCTGCCTTCCGAGATCGCATTACAAAGGGGAACCCTCGAGTCCAAAATCGTATATCGAACTTCGAAAACCGAAAAAAAATATTTTTGTCTCAGAATGATCAGAGTAGCATGAAACATGAACAAAAGTAGTTTCCAAGAAAACTTTGAAAATTTTTGACTTTGAAAATTTTGGGGGAAAAATTTCTTTCCCAAAAATTTTTAGAAACCTAAATTAAAAAATTGGCCCTTTTTGGCCCCTTGCCCAGATTTCATGGGGGAAGCGATGGCCCCCCCCCCCCCCTTCCGCTTCCCTGGGCCCAGAAAAATATTTTGGGCTCATATCATATACAATATAAACGATCAGTGTAGTATGGTGTGGGGGGGGGGGGGCAATGGCATAAAATGGAGAATTACTCAAGGAGTGCAGCCCTCCCTTTTGCAGTGCGAGCTCGGAAGCGGGAGCCATGCCTTCAGAGGTA